AAATCCGCATATCAGTTTGCCAAGTAGCTGTGATCCTTTGGTCCTGTCTTTTCTTGGACTTGAAAAGTGTTCAAATTTAGAAACTCTTTTGTGTTTTACTTCCACTACCTGGACATCCACAAAAGCATACTTGAATGAAAATTATCAAACCCAGCTTTTTTGTCTCAGCATATATTTGAACCGTGGCAAGGCCCTATTTAGAAATACTTTCATTTTGGGAAAATGACTTATTTCCAATCATTTCATCCAGGCATCTCTGAGTATTATTTCTTACAAATGCATGTAAATCTAGAATGATCTCAAAATAAAAATTTAAGAAAAAACAGGTGATGGGCTGGATTTGGCCTGTGGGATCCGGTTTGCCAACCCTTGAACCGTAACAGTGTCAGCACTTAATAAACTAGCTACAGAAATTAACATTGTTTCAGTGAGATTAAGTGACTGTTAGATAAATTGATGTAGAATTTCCTATCCTTTACATTAGGATTGTTCCTCATAATTTACCCAGCTCATTTCACCCCCATGGACCTGTCTGCCACATGGATAGTCAGGCTGGGGTAATGATGAAAAGTCAAACAGCCTGGATTTGACTTCTGGCTGCCCCACTGTCTAGTTGTGTGACTTTATGGAAAGTCATGTAACTTCTCTGTGCCTCGGTTTTCTTACCTGTAAAATGGAGCTCTTATGTGTACTAACTCATTGATATCTCACAAAGTTAAGCGCTTGCAACAGTGCCTGACCATTGGAAGCACTATTACAAGCATTTGTGATTATTGCTTCATTGATAAATAGTATATATGGATTTCAGCAAAGAAATCTGACCAAGCTTCTCACTGTACTTGTGGAAACTAGCCTGAAAACTGTGGAGCAGGTGATGGGATAGTTAGTGGATTTCTGAATGTCCAGATCTAAATAATCTGATTGATGGCTCTAGGTCAGTGGTTCTAACAGTGTGATCCCAATCCACCAACAGCAGCAGCAGCAGCATTCCCTAAGAACTTGTCAGAAATGCAAACTCTGGAACCCATCCCAGAACTACTTAATCTAAAACCCTAGGGCTTTGCCCTAGCAATCTAAGTTTCAGCAAGTCATCTAGATGATTCTGACTCATTCGAAAGTTTGAGAACCACGGTTCTAGGTCAATCTGAAAGGGTTTCCTTTGCAACCACCCACAGGGTGCTGTCCTTGGTGCTGCCCTGTCCTCACTGTCCTCAAGTGTCAGTTAAAGATAAGAAAAAGCTGGCTTCTCAAATTGGTAGGTCATCCATGCAAAGCCAGCCTGGAGGAATAATGACACTATTTGATGCTAGAATGTGGACCTGAAATGAACTCCATAGGTTGGAAGTGCCAGCCAAAATTGTTTTGATTTTTAATAGAGATAGCTTTTTTTTTTAAACCTAAGTTTCTAACTCAAGTTCTTGGCATTTTAACTCCTACATGTTCAGTGAGGTTGTCAGTGGTGCTGTGGGTATCCAGGCACTGTGACCCAAGTTAGCACCATGACATAGGCTGCAGGAATCAAGCTAGTAATGGAAGGTTGGCCCTGAATACAGGAGCAAAGTCTGGCCTACCACCTCTTGATATTTCAGAATTTGATCATATAGTAAGAAAGGGTGCCACACAGGAGAGAAAACCAAATCTGGACTCAGTTATGAAGGGATGGCAGTGGGGGTAGTGAGGATGATCGGGAACCATTCTAATGTAGTTGCATTTGCCATCTGTACTGGTCTAGATCATTATTGGCTGTTCTGTCTTATCTGGGGCATGAGCTCCTCTTCCTATGTGCTGGGAATCCCTGCCAGCCAGGGGCTCTGACACCAGCTGGGTTTCTGGGGTGGCCTGCTCCTGGCAGTGAAAGCAGGTCTATAATTGGCCCATAATTGGATTGGATTTGGCTCAGAATGACTCCCAGGCTCTCTCTCCTGACAGATAACAAGCAGTAAACTCTGTATATGACCCTGCAAGGAGTCTGGGAGACCATTTCTTAGCTGTCAGTGAAAATGGAAAGCTTTCCAGAAGAGTTGACCTTTAGGATAATGGTTTGGGGGCATCTTGAAATGGTTTTCCCCAGAACCATTTGTTTGCCACCTGGTCTTTCTGAAATTCAGACATTTCAACCCAATTTCCAAATCCTGGATCAAATCTGTCCTGTACCATGTATGTGCATATATGTGTATGTGTGTGTGTGTTGTGGGTGGTATGTTTGTATGTGTATAAAGATTACAGTATGACTTTTTAAAATTAGATAAGAAAATAGTAAACAGAAGTAGAAATTGAGATAATACATTTTCTTTGAAATATATCTATAGATAGAGGTGAGTAGATTAACCTTGAATTTCTTTCCATGTCAGTGACAAAAGTCCTTCTGGGTATAAGCAGGGGCATTATCTGTTCAATTCTGGCCCATGCAATGGATTGTAACTAATCCCCTTTCTTGGCACCTGTTGCAGACTACATGGTGATCCTACTTTTCTGATTAAAAGGGATTACACCCATTTTCTACAGATGGACTTCAATAGGCTTAATTAATAATTAATCTTAAAATTAACCTTCTCCGGAGGGAGACGACAATACATCCCACAGTCTTCCACACTTTGTGAAGTTGGAAGTCATGTAAGAATGAACTGCAAAGTCGATTCCTGCCCTAACTATTTCACAGGACTATTATGAGGTTCGAAAGAGAGCATGGACATGGAAGTACTTTGGAATTCTTAAAATCAAGTGCAAGGATTTTTTAATATTATCGCTGCTATTAACCCCTAGTTAAAAGACGTGACTTTGCGTATGTTATAAAACTTCCAAATAAACTTGTTTCCTCATTGCCTGGCCTGTGATGCCCCTTAAGCAGCCATTTCACAAAATCTCCAGGCTTCCGTGTTCTCTGGCACCTGTGTTTACTAGTGACTGCCTACCTATTATTGCAAGGTAGACATAACTCGATTATCAAATTAAGTAATGTCAGAGGGAGAAAACACTTTTGTAAGGTAATCATAGCTGGAAATTGAATGTGAAAGGTGCATAAGCCAGGACAGGGTGTCATAGAGAAGACATCCAGGGCACTTCTGGACATTGAGATTGACATGGCTCTCATTTTGTTTTCTGGACCAGACTCCAATAGTATATAGCCTATGTATGAAAGATTACTAAAAATACGAGATGCCTATTTATGGCCATAAAACCCATTCAAAATGCTCAGGAAAGTGCTATATAAAAGTCCGTTGTTTGACTTTTCCTTGAGAGTAGGGCAGTGGCAGCTCAACTCTCCAAATATTTCTTCAACTTACTCTCTTCAGAGAAAAATCTGAAATTACAAACCAGATACACTTGCTAGTGACAAATTACGGTGAGAGGAGGAAAATTCCTTGAAGTCTCTAAAACAAAATGAAAATGCTAAAGCAAAATGTTTGTAATTTTGCTGTCTTCAGACAAAGGCCTTGGAAACATGAGCTGCTGCAGGTTTTAAAAACTGGAACTGCAATGCCTCCTCCAGGAGAAAGAGGACAGTTGCAGGTTGGAAATCATCTCATGAACTGGCTCAAGCTCAAAGGATTCCAGGTGGGTGGTGATTGAGAAAGAGATCCTCCCAGATGTTTGCAAGTGCTTCAATGAGCTCATATTAGTCACAGATAAGATAATTAATGGATTTTAATTTTCAGTGAGCTTTCTTCATATTATCTGGGGAAAAGTGCAGACCTACTTTTCAGACAGTATGTCACTTAAAAAACAACCTATCAACTCCTAGCCTTGGAAGCAAGGGGCAGAGGGCAGAAGGTATGGGCAGACTATGAGGGCAGCAAAGGGAATGAAGTCTTCCTGGATGCTGCTGTGTACCAGAAGCTCTATCTGAGTCATTTCACTATCTTTATGGTCCCCTCTCAAGACTTGCATTATTATTCCTACTTATGGATATGGCTCAGAGTGGTCAGAAAGTTGCCCAAGGTCACTGAATTACCGTGTCAGAGCTGCACGTGGAGCACAGGTGTGTCCCACTCTTTCCAGCACATCTAGTGTGCAATGGCTGCTGTAAGGTGGGCAAATGCACTCCAGAAAGCTTGTTCATGCCACCTGACACAGCCACAGCCCACTCTGCTATGATCACCCCACTTCTTCCTGCAGAATTCAGGCTCCCAACCCTTCTCAACAGTCAGTACCACTGAAGCAGACACAACACTCCAAATGAAAATTGTTTGTCTTTCCTATAAAGTAGGAGCACAAAACTGGGAAATAGGACACTGAGATTTTAGACTGGTACTGACCTTGATTCCGTTGCTCGTGGGGCTCAGTTTCTATCACTAATAGATGAGGAATCTTAAATTAAGTTCCTTCTGATGGTAACATTTTGTAGTTAATAATAGTAATAGCTCCCATGGTACACAGAACTTTAGATATACACACTATGTGATTCAGTGCTTCTGAACTGTGGAACTATTGGTGCCTGTTGTTGGGACTGTCCTGTGTGTTGTAGGGTGTTTAGTACCATCCCTGGTCTCAAGCCCCTGAATGCCAAGAGTACCCACTCTGAGGTGTGACAGTAAAAAACATCTTCAGACATTGCTAAATTTTCCTCAGGGCAGACAGCAGAATTGCCTCTGGGAGTTAGGTATTCTTCTTATTTTTCAAATGAAGAAACTGAGGCAGATCAATTATATAAAATCACAAAACAAGGGAATAGCAAAGCCAGGGTATAAACCTATCCTTGAATCGCCTCTCTTCAACATTTCCTTCAGTGGAATAACTGTTTTCCAACATCCTGTCTAGACTCTGTCTTTGTCACTTGTATTCAAAGGCTGTGCCTTGTCATTTCTTCTTCATTCCTGCTGCAACCATTATGTGCTAATATCTCCTCTCACATCCTCACCCAACTAGACTGTGAGTCCCTTGAGGGATGTTGTCTTGTATCACTTATTTCTAATGTAGTGGTATCTGAAACAGTCAGTGAAGAGGTGTTCATTTCATAAATGAGTGAATTTATCCCAGCACTTTAATCCTTCCCACATAAATCCAGTTCATGCTGTTAATTTGCGTTATGAAGAAGAAGGTTAATTTGGCCAGAGTAAATTCCAACAAGCCCATGTACAAAATGATCAGGCAATGAAAACAGTCTGAATAGATGGATGATTGAACACTCAGAATTTAATAAACCTGTTGGGGTAGTTTTCAGGATTTAATTATTGCCTCTGGAACTAAAACGCAGTCATGATTTTTATCATTTGTATCCATAATTGGGGGATCGGGCAAGAGCTAGGCAGTAAAATATGTATTACTTGTTAAGGATTCTATTACATCTGTGACAGGTGGAAGGAAGTGCCACTATCTTCTAGGGTGGAAGAAGTGCCACTGTCCTTCCTATAGAAGGTATCCAATGACTTTCTGGCAATAGGACATACTTGTTTTCTGCTGTTTATCCAGCAGTCCAGATGAATTGTTCTTTGTGCCACCTGCCTGGACGAAAGAGACTCCAATCTGTTGACTGCTTAATAGAAATTTCCTTCAGTAAGAAGCCAATTTTCTGACCCTGCCTTGAATTAAACCAGCCACCCCCTCCCCATCTGCATAAAGTCCTAAACCAGAGGGTATAGAATGATCAGTTCACAGGCAGGGAGGGGTGGCAAGGAAGTACAAGTTAAATTTGCAAGTCTTGATTTGTTCCTCGTGATGCCTTCTCCTTCTCAAATGCCACAGCATGTGCAGGGAGTTAAAACGAGCAGCATTGTCACGATGCAGCCAACCCTGATTAGACAGCCTGGAATTCACTTCCCCAGTTTTCTGCGTGGGCTGCACACAGCGTGAGAGGGAATGAGAGAAAAGGCTTCATGGGTCGGAGACTGCTGCACCATGAATGACACAGAGGCTCCTGGCAAGCCCTTGCTCATCTCCGGAGCAAAGGCAGGTGGGCTCTGCAGTAGTCTGGTATTCCTCTGCTGCAGTTTTGTCAGCACTAGGCAAAGTCCCTGTCATCCCCAGCATTGCCATAATCGGTGTTTTTCTGTCTCCTGTTCTCTCCTCTCCTTTCCCTTTCCCTCCTTTCCTTCTCTCTCTTTCTCTCTCACTTTCTCTGATATTTATGGGCATTAACTCTTCCTTTTTTCAACATCCTTAAAAAGAAAATTATTTGTGCTTCCATACAATGTTTTGTCCATTTAACAGGGTAGATGCTCTGGCATATTTGAATCCCTAATGCCTGCTATACTCAGCACCTGGTACATCTTTTGTGTTTGGTAAATGCTGACTAACTAAAAGAATGAATATGTGAATGAGTAAACAAATGAGCAAACAAAGGAACACATCAACCAACATGCCAGGATTGTGCTTCAGTGTTCCTCTTTGTGGCAGTGACAGTTTCTGCAGTCTCTTTAGCCTTTGCTTGCTTTGCTCTAACCCAACATGGTGAAATATTATCTGCAAAGACTATAACTAAAAGAACATTTTTGAGGAATGCAGTGGGTGATAGTGATTAAAAGGACTGGCTGTTTAGTGTGACAGATGATGGTGACTTACAATCTGGGTGACCTTGGTCAAGTTGCATAAACTCTCTTAGCCTTCACTCTCCCATAAACAAAATGAGCATTGTAGTATGTACTCCATACAGTCAGCACAAGGAATAAATGAAATAATGCATGTGAGGTACAAGATAGGGTATCTGGCATATCACAAGCATATAAAAAATGGTAATGTTCATGATGACAATAAAAATGATGACATTGATATAGGTGCTGGTGACTACTAATGCTTTACATTAATACTTTAGAAGACGATGAGCTGCTGAGCTAACCTGCTTTCTGATACATTTGAGATGAAAAGATAACCTACAAAAATAGTTGCGTTTGAGGCAATTCCACATAGACCATATGCCATAAATGTTTAATTTGCGAATTGACCAAAGAATTATATTTGAGTACTTCATTTCTAAGTCTTAATTACTGTGAAGAGATTATAAATGTTGGACAATTAATTACTCTTTTTATTACTGTCTTAATTTGTGTGAAACGCAACGCATTGATTGCTTGGAAAGAAAAGTCCACAGCAAGCTGGACCTGACATCAACCTTTCAAGCAGATAAATCAGGGTTACTCACTCTCAGCAGTACTGACATTTGGGGCTGGATCATTCCTTGTTGTAGGAGGCCATCCTTGTCATTGTGGAATATTTAATAGCATCCCTGGCCTCTCCTCACTAGAGGACGGTAGCAGCCTGCCCCAAGTTGTGACAATTCAAACTGTCTGCAGACATTGCCAAATGTCCCCTGGGAGGAAAAATCCACACCCTCCCCCAGTGAGAACAACTGAGATAGAGTAATGAGTTCCATTATATTGAGAGTAGAGCAGGTTCCAGGTGTAACTGCCCTTTGGCTCATGGAAATGTATGTTCCAGTACAGTAAGATCAAGAGAATTGGGTTCTGAGTCAACTGTGCTTTCCACCAAGCTGGCTGAAGCAAATGTGCTTCTCTGGTCTCAAGTCTACTCCCTAAAAGCTCTCGCACTAATTCCAACTTCTTCCTGATAATTCATACACTAGACCCTCCAAATCTCTGTTTTAATAGAAACTACACTGGTAGCTTCTATGTGTTAACTGCCGAGAGGCTCTTAAAACATCTGCCACAGTCAACTCAAAGGCTTCTTGAGTTCACTCTCAAGAGTTCTTTACACCTACACAGGCTGCAACCAGGGTCTAAAACAAGAGTTTTTCCAGCCAGGAAAACAAATGAACAAAGCCTTGATACAGTTTGGAAATACTGCAGAACCTTTCTTTATCGTAACCAAGTAAAGATCAGGAAAAATTTAAAAAGAGCATCACAAATCAAAAGAAATGTGGCTTCACTCGAGAATGAAAAATTTCAGCATAAAACCATTTCCTTCGGAGAAAGTGAATAAAGCTATGTAATTGGGTCAAAGCAGGGAGCATTTCAAAAATGAGGACAAAAAATTTCCACAAACCACAGAGAAGACATTTGGAGAAGTGTTTATTCTTTTTAAGTATAGCTCTATGTAAAATAATAAATCAGTCCTCTGTCTTCTGGCAAAAGAAAAAGGTTATGAAATCATGGTCAGTCAAAGACTATGAGAAATAAATCATCTTAATTCTGAAGGCTGCAAAGCAACATGAAAAATAATCTTGTGATAAAATGTAAAGTGGCAAAAGCAAGATACAATACTATACAAGTGCTATAAATGATGCTATGTAAGAAGAATGTGTAAGAACCAGTTTCTATTTACTGAGGAATTACCAATCCATCCCAGGTACTGTGCCTGGAGATACTTTAAAAAATACATCTCCCTAATCCTTCACAACTGCTCACTGAGAGAGGTGCCATTTTCTGCTTTTATCAAACAAGAAAATAAAGACATAGAGTGCAAAGTTGCAAAGGTGGAAGGAAATGAGACCAAGTCCTCACAACCCCAAATCAACATATTGTTAGCAACTTGGTTGTATTGCATCCCAGATGTAAACCCGGAGGAAAAGACTGGAAGGGGAAATCAAAGTCAGTATTATGCTAAAATGGTGATCTACTGGGCAATCGTTTTTTATATCCCAGCCTCTGTTACATTGTTATAGT